CCAAAATAGTCAATGAATTTTTATTAATAATTTCTATTGCGCTTAGACACATGTTGATATATTGGAAGATTTTGATCAAGATCTTATCGATAAACTTAAAAAGTTACAAGAGAAACATGATTTTATAATCTTTGAAGACAGAAAATTTGCAGATATTGGTGACATTTCTTATTTGATTATTTTAAAAAAACTTGATTATCAAATATAAAATGTTTACGTTTATTAATTAATTTTATATATATTAATATATATATGTGTATATAAATATAAAATGAATAGGCAATACAGTAAAACATCAATATTCCAAAGGCATTTATAAAATAGCAGAATGGGCGGATATTATAGATGCACACGCAATACCTGGAGATGGTATTATCTCTGGATTGAAAGAAATTGGATTACCTTTAAATCGAGGATTGTTACTCCTCGCAGAGATGTCTTCAAAAGGAAATTTGGCTACAGGGGCTTATACAGAAGCCACAATTGAAATGGCTAAAAGGCATAAAGATTTTGTGATCGGGTTCATTTCTGGAAAAAAATATAATTATTGTGAAGAATTAATTGTTATGACGCCAGGAGTTTCTTTGGATAATTCTAATGATGATTTAGGACAACAATATAAACAACCTAGAAATGTCATTGAAAATGGTAGTGATATTATTATTGTAGGGCGTGGAATTTATGGAAAAGGTAAAGATCCGGTCGTTGAAGCACAGCGATACAAAAGTGCTGGATGGGAAGCATATTTAGAAAAATTAGAAAACTAATGATAAAATTTTGTACGTACGTACGTACACACTTATTACATTTATTTATACATATGACAAATAATAAAGTAATATTGCATGAAAGTACAGTATAAACGTATTTTAAAATGAGCTGTTATACGCATTTCTGTTACATATAATAACGATAATTACGCAGAATTGGTGTGACTTAGCACAACGTATCAGTATTAAATATTACACCATGAGTATACAAGTTAGTTCTTATAATTAAAAAATTTTATATTTCATGTGAAGAGCACTGAATAAGCATTTATAAATAAGTCTAATTTAAACATTATCACATTCAGTACAATGAAAGTTCCCGAGAAATTTTTCCTATAAAGACCATAAAAACAAATAATCCAAAAGTTGTAGACGATTCTGGAGTTTATCTAGAGCCAACAAGAATTTTCAAAAGAAATCATTTGATAAATATCAAAAAAGGGAGTTTTGTATTTATCTCGGGGGCGAAGAATTCACGTGTGCTAACTCACGATCGATAATCAGGTTATAAGCAATATGCCGTACGTGTACATTATATATATTTAAAGTATTTTTGATCAACACGCACTAGATCATCATGCTTATTCACAGTGTATCATTTTCCACGCCTCTTAGCATCAGGATCATATTCTTATACTGGATCATCATGCTTATTCACAGTGTATCATTTTCCACGCCTCTTAGAATCAGGATTAAAGGGTAATTGATTAAGTAATACCATAATTGCTTTCTCAATGAATTAGTTCTTTGACCAATTCTAATTATAGAATCAAGGCATAGATTGTTTTTAAAGTGGACACGGTGCACACTTGGCTTATTTCATAAATTTTCACACTATTTTCACGAGCATGATCCGCTTATCAGGTAATAAATTTATTAGATTTTATTCTAGAACCTAAAATAATTGTGCGTAATGTCATGAGTTTCCGAATGTAGATCATGCAACATTGAAACAAGGATCTGTAAATATTTCTATAGATGACCCTGAAAAAAACTTATATAAGTAATCGTCTTTTTGTTTTTTTCTACAGAAGAACTATTTGCAAAATTGGTTTATAAAATACTCTGCTTAACTATTTAAATAAATGCATATGACCAAGAAAATTATCGTGACTGATATCAGCCCTGTTGCTTCTGAAAAACAAGGTATTTTATAAAATTGTTATTTTTGTTATTTTATTCATGTATGCGTAACAAAAAAGATTTTTTTTTTTTTTTTTTTTTTGAACGCACGCCCATTTTTTTACCATTTTTTACATGTTTGGTTTCTTGATTATTGAATGAAACATGAGATAAATCAATCTAACTAATTGTTATCTTAAATTTTGTGCAACTATATAGTTAAAGACTTCTTCTTATTTTGTGGCAAAATTAAGGCGTTCGAATTAATAAAGTATGTTATATAAACATTCGATTAATCCTCATTATTTTTTTTTATTTCATCGAAATCCTCATTATTTTATTAATCTTTTATTTCATCGATAATATCTTTATAGAGAAGAAAATAGTGACAAGCAAATTGCCTATATCACATTTGAACGAGAAACTGCTGTAAGAACTGCCCTAATGTTGACAAATGCTGTTGTTGGAAATTGTCAAATCACTGTCAAGTCTGCTGATGATGCATCAAGCAGCGATGAATGTTTAGATGGTGGTGAAGGATATGATGGTCAAGAAGGAAAATCAAAAGCAGCCATACTCGCGGAAATTATAGCCACCGGTATTCAATTACAAGAAAGCATACTCAAGAAATTTTATGAATATGATGGTATGTGATTCCATAAAGGCCTATTTCATTATGAGTTAGCCTTAGGTTCTTATTTAAATACATATTAACGGATGTATCATTATAAATTATTAGCTAAATATCATTATAGCGAATATTTCATGCAATATTTTTCCCCTATCCAGGAAAGGCGTAAGTTCAAATTATATATATATATATATTTTTCTTTTTTTCATAACGTTTGCTATTTATAACTAAAAACCGACCTTGTTCGATTTATTAGTTTATGCAATTAATGACAAATATGAAATATCCAATACTGTTACCGCCAAAGCACAGGAGTTTGAAAAAAAGTATGCCTTTCAAGATAAAATCAAGTTAGCTCAAGACAAAGCAAACTGTGCACTATGTTCACCCACTGGCCAAAAAGTTGTTGACCTTTATACAAATACAACGAAACAACTCTGTGATATTCATTGTTTGGCAAAGCGAATCGCAAGTGAGAGAAAAGCACAACATGTTGAAGCTCACTAAAGCTCATTAAAAAAAATAAACGAAACCCCAAACACGTAGTATATATTACCCATAATATTCATTATATCGTATCATATATATCTCAAAGTAGTTAATATAAATTGAACACTTAGTTTTTTCTTCAAATAACGAACATTCTTTGTTAAGATTTCGTGTTATCGTAGTTTTAGTCCAAATTTTCGTTTCATGTAAAACAATAAGTAAGACGTGACCCAATGTGGTCGATCTTCGATTATCGATTATCATAGCATGTTAACGTTAAAAAAAAAAAAGTTTATCCGTTTACCCTGACGCCTAAGAATCATATGAGATCGGCCCGATCTTTTCGCTTGATAGCGTTAGCCTATTAACGTTAATCTTTAGCACGTAATAAAGTTCACTAATGAAAAAATAGTTTTATATTGGATTATAGTTCTATAATCCTATCGCTATTATTAAAGTTAATAAAAAATGCTGCGGCTAATATATTCATTATATTGTAATACAGTAAAATTATGTTCCGACTTTGAATGTCTAATTATAACAAATTCGGGATGCATGACGACTCCGTAGTGCGATTACGTACAACAGATCAGTAAGATAAAATACTACGTATAGGCTTATTATGTACCGTAAATTACCGTGCATTCTAAGTAATACCAAACCTTGATCTATATTGTATGACTAGGGGCATATCACATGGGACCTTAATCCTCTACGATTCTATTTTTTTTTGCCATGATTTATTGGGGTGAGTAACATCGGCCTAATTACAAACATAGTGCAGGTCATAGATCATTTTTTATAGTGTACCGTAGATCAGCGTTAATTTAATAGTAAATACATAGAAAGTTCAAGCTGCAATAACTCTTGAACCAGCAAACCCACACAAATAAATTATATTTGTTCGGGTTCATTATAATGTGCTCTTTAACGTAATAACTCTTTTTTTTTATTTCTATTGTCTGAAGAAATAAAATAATACCAAAATTCTCGTTTTTGATGTATTATTAATAAAACATCAAAAATGTAACTTTGAATTTTCTGTGCATATTGTGACACAATATGCAATAGTTACATTTTTGATGTTTTGAATCAAAAACGAAAATTATTTGAGTTCCCTGCTACGCTCCAGGCAATAGAAATAAAAAAAAAAGAGAGTTATTACGTTAAAGAGCGCATTATAACGAACCCGACAAATATAATTTTATTTGTGTGGGTTTGCTAGTTCAAGAATTATCGCAGCTTGAGCCTCTATGTTTTTACTATTAAATTAACGCTGATCTACAGTATCTATAATTCCAATTGTGGTCACATTCTCATGCTTTGATTCTTCCAACACAATCGTATATTTTTTTTTTTGGATTAAATGTCTCAATTTGTTAATTGTTGCGTTAATTGTTCTCATGATAACCTCTGCCATGTGACTTTACATGCTAACCAGCATCGGTATCGGGGACTTAGACCAATTTTATTTCATTGAACTTAAACTGAAACATTGAACTTAGCGTTAGTGATTCCGATTTAAACTTAAAAGTCCAATTCTAATTCCAATTACTGAACTCATAACATTGATGCCAGCAATCATTCCCCTGACAGTTAAGGTTGGCTCTAGTGTTAGAGTTGTTAATAGATTGAATTGGTTGTTCCAATCCTCAACCCACTACATTAAACCCCACCCTTTAACTTGATACTACTCCACTAACAACCCCAATTAGCCTG